CCCTGCACCCCCCCCCCCCATCTGAGATCATGTGTGTCCGGTATTTTTGTCAAAACCATCTAGCAACCCTAGCCACAATTCCTGTATTACTGATACTTAAATTAAGGAATTTTTAACTACTTCTTCAAGAGGCGTCCCTGGGGCTGCTTCACATTAGGTGTTGAGCATCCCAGCGCTTCTTGACAGATTTTTCTTAGCAGTGCATTGGGGGCCACGCATGCCATTGCACATGCCTTGGCCTTCCCTCCCTTCAGTCTCTTTCTACCATCCCTGGCTTCAGATGGAACTCTTCAGTGCTCTCATACAGACTTGTCACAATTTATTTCCTTCAGTAGTTTTTTAGAATTAGTTTTACCTTCACAGTTCTTGTTACTTGTTAATTCTGTTACTTGTTTGTTATATTTAAAAAAGAAAAAGGAGATGTCTGCAGTTTCCAACTGCTTTCTCTGAATAATACTGCGACATGGGCTCACATGGCTTCAGATGCTATGCATTCCACAAGGGACACAATGCTGACATCCGATAAGCACGATAAATGGGTAAAGATAAATGTGAGACAATCACATTGTCAGCAAGACTTGTCAGCACTGCGCTAAGCTGAAAACGCGAACGCACAAGGATAGAGTACTATGCCTTAAAATGCTCCTCTCAGACAAGGGCAAACAACATACCTGTGTGTGCCTGCATTAAGCCCTCAAAGGCGAGGGCAAGCTCTATGGCTCAGCAGCCCCTAAAGTGGCACGCTGATGGCAAGAAGCCAGACCGCTTGGGCACTAATTGCATGAGCATGTTTGACTGCCGAGGTACTTCGGGCGAGCACCGAAAGGGGTCAAAAATGCAAAAAAGGCTGCCGTCATGAAGGCAACAGGCCACCCCGTGCCTGCCTCACACACCGTGCTGCCTAATATGGCACCGACTGCCCTCCCACTATCCAGAGGAGCACTTCCGATTCCCACCATGGTGCTGAAGAATCTCCTCACAGCTCAGCCTCATGGTGCCTTTTCCCCCTACCCCTCTCGTTGCCAGGGTCAGCCCCTGACACAAATGCTGCTTCAGCAGAGCAGTCAGTATCCGTGCTGCATACTCCCCTCATTAGCTACAGGGATCACGAGGACCTGGCAATCTCTTCCACTTTACATTCGCCTATTCTCACTCATAAGATATATCCTCAGTCTCCATTCTCTGACTACTCTGACTCTCCCTCCACCCTCTCAGGGGATGAAGAAGAGGGGTTGCCTGCCTTTTCACCTCAGCCATATGCGGAGGGCTCTATAATATCTGCTTATCTGCAACAACCAGATTTTCTCAGAGCTCAAATGGCTCCCTGGGTTCCTTACCTCTTTAGAGACGCCTCCTACGAGATCATACTACAATAGGTGGATCACCTGCTCCAACTAGAGGCCATAGAACCAGTGCCCAAGGAGTTCCACGGAACCGGTTTTTGCTCACATTATTTCCTTGTAGAAAAGAAAACAGGCGGCTGGAGACCAATCCTCAATCTTGGATTACTAAATAAATACATAAGGAAACAAATTCAAAATGGTCACTCTGAACACCATTATTCCAGCTCTGGAATCTGGTGACTGGTTTTCTTCTCTTGACTTACAGGATGCATATTTTCATATATCAGTTTGACTGTCTCAGACGTTTTCTTCATTTTACTTTAGGTCTCGAACATTACCAATACGGTCCTTCCCTTCAGCCTCTGCACTGCACCCCGCGTATTTTCAAATGTGTTAATGGTTGTCTCTGCTCATCTCAGAAAATGAGGAGTCACGATCTATCCATACTTAGACGAATGTCTTATCAAAGCAAGGATTGAACAACACTGCCATCAAGATGCCATCATAGTGTTAAGCTGCCTTCACTCATTAGGGTTCCTAATAAATTACAGCAAATCAATACTCGTGCCTACCCAAACAATCCAATTCATTGAAGCACAGCTCAATTCGATCACAGCCAGAGCCTCTTTGCTTACTGACAGATTCATTCACATCAGTCAACTTGCAAAATCGCTTCAAGAGATGCCAATAGTAAAGGCCCATGACTACCTTCAACTCTTAGGTCACATGGCATCATGCAATTGTGTGGTGCCAAATGCATGACTTCTTATTATATGTCTCCACTTCAAATACAAGCCACACGTCCATCATATGAACAAAATGCTCATGCTACCCCATCCAGTGAAAGCATCCCCACAGTGGTGGACAACATCATCCAACCTGTGCATAGGCATCCTTTTTTGAAGCCTAGACCTCACTGAGATTATCGTACAGATGCATCCCTTCTGGAATGGGGCACTCACATGGAAGGCTGAACAACACATGGTCTATGGTCCCTGGCAGACAATATTCTTCACATCAGTGCCTTCAAACTCAGGGCAGTTCACCTGGCATGCCAAGAACTACTTCCCCATGTCATGGGGATCCACGTAAGAATATATACAGACAACATGGCATGCATGTTTTATATAAACAAGCAAGGCAGCGCTCAATCACAGACTCTATGCTTCAAAGCCATAGCACTTGGGAATTGGTGTTTAGCCCGAGACATCTGCATATCCGCGTGTCACCTCCCTGGGGTCCTCAGTTAGACAGCGGATGCCCTTGACAGAGCCCTGCCACAAGAACATGAATGGGAACTTGATTATGCACTCCTCAACGACATATTCAACCAATGGAGCTTCCCAGACACAGACTTATTTGCCAGCACAACCAACAAAAAATGCCCAAGCTATTGCACCAGGGTGGGAATGGGGAAACAATCCCTCGGGGATGCTCTTCTTAGAACTTGGAATGCTTTATGCCTTTCCCCCATTTCCTCTCCTCATCAGAGTCCTCATAAAAACTCTGAAGGACGAAGCAAAAATCATTCTCATCATGCCCTGCTGGCTTCAACAACTGGTTTTCCCTCCTACACAGGTTGGTACAACATCAACCAATCGTGCTTCCAAACAATCCCGACATTTGACACGAAGCAGGGATTACTTATCCTCACCTTCAATTTCGGACACTCTATCTCAAGGCGTGGTACCTAGATGGTTCATGGGCATAGAGCCCCAGTGCTCCCAACAGGTCCATGATGTCCTACTGCATCCTATTCACTGGGCAACCTCTCGTAACATACTGCCACAAAATACTCCTCTCTCTGCAATTTTGGAATATCTGTTACACCTCAAACAGTCACATCTCTCTCTCAGCTCTATCAGTGTTCACCTAGCAGCCATTACAACCTTCCATGTACCAGTGGAAGACACTGCAGTCTTCGCACACCCAATAACCAAGCAATTTCTGAAAGGCCTGCAGGCTCTATACCCAGAGGTGGCATCCCCTCGAGAACCATGGGACTTACACTTGGTATTAACAACACTCGCAAAACCACCATTTGAACCTATGGCGACATGCTCCCTATGCCATGTATCTTTAAAAACAGCATTCCTGGTAGCAATAACCCCTCATGGCGTAACCACCTTTCACAATCTTTTTTAAAGATAAGGTCACAATGTGGCCACATCCTAAATTCTAACTTCAGGGGTGTGCACCTCTTCCACATGAATCAAATGATATGCTTACTGTATTTTTTTCCAAAGCCTCACGCCAGTGCATTTGAATCTCAGATGCACACTCTAGATATCAGAAGGGCTCTCTTTCTACATCGACAGAGCCAAATCTTTCAGATCCTCATCACAACTTTTTGTCTCCATCGCAGATCATAGTAAGTAAGGGAAAACAAATTTCATCAAAGATTATCACATTGGAATGCATCACTACTTATTTGCTAAATGACTTACCTCTGCCAATTCCAATCCAGGCACACTCCACAAAAGCGGTTGCCACATCCACCGCTTACCTGAGAAAAATTCCACTGCCACGTGCAGCGGCTGCGTGGTCTTCAGAGAACACTTTTGCAAAACATTGTGTACTTGTTTTGGGACTGCTCCAGGATACTAAACTAGCAAAAGCTATATTACAAATGGTATACTTAGCTGATCCGAAGTCCCTATCTCCATAAATATATTGCTTTGTTGTCACCTAATGTGGAGCACCCTCAGGGACTCCTCTCGAAGAAGAAAAGGAGGTTACTCACCTTCCTGTTACTGACATTCTTTGAGATGAGCGTTCCTGGGGTTGCTCCACTACCCTCCCTTCCTCCCCTCTACTTCGGAATACCTTAATGATAACATATATGACACAGTCTTTGCCGGGTTCCGGACAAAGAAGGAATTTTTGGGGGGGGGGAGGAGCAGCTGTGCATGTGCGATAACACAGGGGGAGGCTCCCATGTGTTGTGCATGCATGACCCCCAATGCATTGCTAGGAAAAATCCATTGAGAAGTGCTGGGATGCTCAACACCTAATGTGGAGCACACCCATGGACGCTCATCTCGAAGAATGTCAATTACAGGAAGGTGAGTAACAGAATGTGGAATCTAGGCAGTTTCACTGCATCTAAGTATTTTTATACTTCAAAACATTTATCTTTTCTTTCACAGTTATGATTTTCTGATTTAAGAGGATTTAATATTTACTGTAGCCAATATTAATACTAATATGATTAGTGGGTAAAAGTGTTCATTTTTGCTCTTCGTGTTTTTCTCTAACCAATATCTTGAAACCAAGCATTTTAATTGTATAGCATTAGACAAAAGATGTTTTTTTAGCAAGAAATGTCTTTTATTGCTTTTTTGGTATAACAGCAGTTTGAAAGTTAAGGGAAAAACAAAATATGCTTCTAATGGCCAATTTACAAAAAAGTTTTTTTTCTTAAATCTAGTAAATGCTAGAATGAATACTTAGAACAATATATAATAAACAGTTTACCCTTAGATATGAATTAAATATTCATAAACTATTAATATTTTACTTTTAAAACAAAAATAAAAAGAGGTTAGTCTATGTTTAGCTAAAGAATGCATTATTATTGCCAGCTGTGTGCTACAGCTGATGCAAAAGACAAATAAAAAGAAATCCCAGACCCCTGAAGACTTTATAATATAAAAGATTTAGCAAAAGAAGACTAGCCCCACATGGAGACCAGAAGAGGGCACTAAAAATAAATAAATATGTAAAAATATAAATAAAATTTAATTTAATAGATTGTGCTGAGGCTTTCTTTTTGGTTACTCAGTATTTTTTTTTTTATTATTATTACTGTCAAATGTTTCTCTTAAATAAGACTTTTGTCAGGGAAGTTCCTAAGAGCGGAAAGTCATCCATGTTTAACATAAGAAATTTCATGCAGTTATTGTTGGATAAGCTAGATAATGTTCTGGCCCCAGCCATACTTAAACTTGATACATTAAATGGTGAACAGGGTACACTGCAAAACCTGGCAGCTATCTATGGAGGCAGGCCCAATTCTTCAAGAGGAAGGAAATCGAGAAACAAGGAGGAAGAGGTATGCTATCTGCATGTTTGCCACCTTCATCTCAAAATAGCATCATTTTGACTTTACCTCTGCCTCATTTTTCCCCCGCATGGTTTATAATGCATAACAAATACAAAAATGTCATTGATCTCCAGGAAATATTAACGTATATAGTCCTAGAGTTTGTTGATCGGTATTCTTAGTTACAGCTGTCTACATCAGACTTTTTAAAAAATCATTTATCTTTTTTTAAATAAACACACATTCCCCAAACACAAACAAGCCCCCGAACCTGTACCTGCATTCCTATTGTAATAAATATAACTACTGCTAGATCCCCAGATTTTACCAATCTTGTTTATCTTAAAACTACCAAATTTAATATTGTGGAACACTAGTTACGGTTTTCATTAATTTAATTAAAGGAGAAATCAGTTGAATTTCTTCTAGAAATTAATACATGTTAATTTAGCAATAGCAGTAGTTTTTCCTTTATTTGACTTTTCTGTGGAATTTAGATACAAAATTCAGAACATATTTAATTTCCTCCTATTTGAAATTTTGCTTCCTTTTTCACATAGGAATACTTGGCAAGATTAAGACAGATCCGGCTTCAAAATTTCAATGAACGCCAGCAGATTAAAGCTAAACTTCGTGGAGAAAAGGTTAGATGGAAACAATTCAAAAGGCTTTGAGGAGCTAGTTGTAAACAGAATAGAATATTGCTCATGAGATCTTTTTTAAGCAGGTATAGATCACTTTTTAAAAAATCACCTTTGAGGCTGATATTTTTCCGTGTCAAGTTTATCAAAAGATGAATCTCTTTTTCATTGCGTGTGACGAGATCCATTTAGCCCTTGTGGAGTAAGTATGCAAAAGTTTCTTTTTAAAAAAAAAAAAATGAAAAAAGCCTGGAACCATGATCTTTTTAAACAGGATTGTACAAATATCTGAAGTTGGAAACAATACAGTTTGTGCTCTTTGATTACTAGTACTTATTTTTATTCTGGCTTTGCCTTCTTAGAATCATAGAATACTAGGACTGGAAGGGACCTCGAGAGGTCATCGAGTCCAGTCCCCTGCTCCCATGGCAGGACCAAATACTGTCTAGACCATTCCTGATAGACATTTAGCTAACCTACTCTTAAATATCTCCATAGATGGAGATTCCACAACTTCCCTGGGCAATTTATTCCAGTGTTTAACTACCCTGACAGTTTGGAACTTTTTCCTAATGTCGAACCTAAACCTCCCTTGCTGCAGTTTAAGCCCATTGCTTCTTGTTCTATCCTCAGAGGTCAAGATGAATAAGTTCTTTCCCTCCTCCTTATGACACCCTTTTAGATATCCTTTTAGATATTCTTGCTATATCCTTAATTTGTGTATGTTGTTCTTATGGATTAAAGGCATTTAAACACCATCAACGGATTTTAAAAGGAAATTGATTTGGGTCAGTTTAAATTGCCAAAAAAACTTCCCGTAATCCAGGGTTACAATCAAGGAACCTGAGAGCATTGCAAGGGCTAAAAAAGCTGAGTAAATCTTAAGAATTTTTAAATTGATCTTAAAGCTGTATCAGATGTGAAAATGTTAAATTTGCTAATCAAACTTTTACTTTCTACAAGTTTGAAGTTTATCAATGATGTTCATAAAGCACTGTTTGCATTTATTGGTATTTGTGCTGAGCTGTGCAATTTTGAAAACTCCATGGAAATGCAATGTGAAAGAACTGTCCAGTGCAGTGTACGGTTTTACAGTTAAGCACTCAAGTCATAAAATCTGAAAGTTAAGATCAACATCTCAATATGACGTCTGAACCCTTTGTATATGCATTAGAACACTGGTTTCACTTACATTCATGTGGCTTCCTCAAGTAATTGTTCATATGGCTTCCACTTCTGGTGTGCTTGTGTCTCACGTGTATGAGATCTGATTCTTTGGACCAGAAATGTTTATGGGGCCACAACTATATCCTGGATGGCCTCATACCTCATTACTTCTTAAGGCATAAAGATAGAGCCCTGCAAATCTATAGGTATTGCAGGTAACTGCATCTATGGATATTAATGTGGATATCCTTGGCTCATTTTGTGGATATGGATATGGATGCAGATACAAAATTGATATCCGCATCTGTAAAAAGTGATCTGTGGATTTTCAAAGCAGATATCCACAAATTTGCAAGGTTCTAGATACAAATCTTGTATCTGCAGAGGGCTTTACATAAAGGGAGAAGAAGGCCCATTTGTGTCTCAATTCCTTTTTATTCTTTGTGTCACTGAAACAAAATTCTTGTGTATGCCTACTTCTCTGCCACCTTACTAGTATTTAGTTCTCCGTTAGATATTTTTTAGTTGCCCAGTGGTGCATACAGTTTCTCTTCTAGTTAGTAAGCATGAGGTTTGCCTCCATTAACAGACTCTAGCTATGATATGATGGCAGAAGCTAAATCCCTAAGGTTTAACGTATGCCTGACTTGTAATGCTTGTGCACCCCTTAATAGGTGCTTGCTGTGCTTAGGTAATGACCATACCTCAGACTTTGGCCCATCTGCTGCCTTTTTCAAAAATACTTCTATGTTAAATACAGACTAACAGTATGTGATGGCATAATTAGAGATGACTTTGTAATGCATACAGACAGGGTTCAAGTTGTACATTCATGCTTAATTTTCCAATTTCATGATGCTAAGCATGATGTTAAACACATTAACCATAATATTGTGTTAATGTGTTTATTGCTCTTAATAGAAACACATGCTGAATATATTTATAGTGTAACTAGATTAAAAGGAGTTTTCATACATGGAGTACTTTTTAAAAGAATTATTTTTTACTACTTTGTAAAAATTCCAAACTTTAAATTTGGACTAGATTTATTCCTAAAGGATGCTTTCCAGTTCAACCATAAGTGATTGACCTTGATGCAGGAATTAGTGAGTGAAATGTTACTGCCTGTGTTACGTAGGTAATCGGACAAGCTGATCACAGTGGTCCCTTCAGATGTATAAATCTGTGAGCTAGCTGTGACTTTTAAGAACTCTTCCTTTATATTCAGAATGAAGCTGCTGGATCTGATGCACAAGAAGCAAATGAAGAAGCAGAATTGAGACGCAAAAAAATTGAAGCACTGAAGGTAACGGGGGGGGAGGGAGGTTTAGAGTAAATTCCTTAAAATTCTTCTATTTGGTTTGTATCAGGCTATATATAACAGTGGTACAGTTATCATCTGCAGTAGGTACTGGTAGGGATGTAAGCAACTAGTTGACTAGACTAGTTGCTCCAACCCCGCCTTGGTGCCTCTCTATTAGAGGCAGCAAGAGGGAGAGCAGGAGTAGGTGCTTGGGGGTCAGTTTCAGCAGCGGCTGAATCGGGGACAGCTGGGGTGCTGCCGGGTTGGGTCCCGCAGCCCCGAGGAGCAGCGCTATGGGACTTACCCGACAGCCCCCCGGCTGCTCTGCCCCCGGCTT